TTTTTTTTTTTTTTTTTTTTTTTGGTCGGAATTTGATGTCAAGCAAGACGTGCGAAGAATAACGAGTGAACGGTAACTTCTTTCTAATAAAACCTGACTACCACCCCTTTCTCTCGCGCTAAATTGCTTTAACCTCTATAATTGATATAAATTAACCGGATTCGCGAAGAGAATTCATTGTAGTCGCAAGAAGAATATCAAAGTTTGTTATTCCCTATCGTAATTTTTCTGCAACCAGTGTCTGACTTCCTATAATCCGTAATGAATGTAATTTACAAAAGTGATGGTTTCTGTTGGTGATATATGGTATCATGGATTTATTTGAACTTCTGACGTCGACAAAAATGCATTGATAAATTTAAAAAAAAAGATACAAAGACAAGAAAGGAGAGAGAAAAAGGAAATGGAAGAAGCGAGCTTAAGAAAATTCATAATTGTACCAGCCAGCATCTTTGTTTAATGAAAAATAGAAGCTGATGACAACTCTGGCTTTAAAGAAGATATCTTATTGCGAGAGGTTATTGTGCAAGATAGTACAATATTGGAATTGGAACTGGAATCTAATAAAATTAAAAGGTTTGATCGTTCATTTTGAAATAGTATCCTGTATCAAAATATAATTCCGTTATTGATGCTTATAATAATATTCTGTTTCAATGTTCATGATGTAACGGTGAATCATTATTATTTTTTCTATAATAATTATATTATCAAGTTATTCTTTAATTCTAGGAAAAATAGGATTGCTCGAGCCCATTTAGGAAAAAATCTTTTCAAAAAATTATTTGTTGTCATTTTTAATCTCAGAATTTATAATTTAATTTATGTAGAAAAATTAGATATATTTCTTTTTATATTTTTATCTACATAATACAAATTCTGCAACAGAATGATTCTCATTTTTTTAAGGTTAATATTTAGTTCTACTATTATATTACAATATTTCGCGATGTTATATCAATGTCCACGTCCAAATGTTAGCACAAATATAATTTTCTCCAATTTTGCTGACCACTCTTTCCATCTTTTATTCCACAGAGTCGAGCCTGTTTTTCTTTCCGGTTCGAAATTCCGGTTCCGCAACTACGTGACTGGAATCTGGCCTTGCCATTGACACGTCATTCTTTTCCAGTCGCTGGAACCGGAAGTTCTCCAACCTGGATTACTCGCGAGACCCCTGTAACTCGCTATAGCTTCGAATCCACTGAGTGCACATCGACTTCACTGTTTTACCAGCAGTTCGTGTTCCTTTTTTCCCCTTCTTCATCATCGATGGACGTAAAAAGAGTGCGGAATAACGTCTGAATCAGGTACTTACGACGTTTTACGACTTTGTCCCTTGAATTATGATCGGTGCAAAAATAGGGATCCTGAGAGGAACAACTAAGTCAGCTTCTTTCACAGAAAAATTTTAGTGATTTTAAAGGATAATATATTTTGATATTTTTATTTCTATACTTTAATTTAGAGAATTGTGGAATATTGATAGGGATAAATAATTATTAGAAATAAAATTATAGATTGATTATGATTATTGGAAAATAGAGTTTTTGATTTAGTTCGAAGTTTTTTATGTAGGAAAAATTTACTTTGTCAATATTTTTTGCATTATTATTCGAAATTTCATTTGAAAATATATTCTAAGAAGAAAACACGATTTTTAAAATAAATTTTTCAATATCTTTTTATTACCTTAACTTAATCTAATTCTCGTTTGACAAAACCGAATGACTTTTGATTCAGACAATATAAATAATATTTAATATCTGCTTTAGTAGTCGACGTTAATAAAATTCCAACAAAATTACGAAATTAAAATTACAAAATTTTTCAACAAAAAGTACATATCACATTAAATCTCATTTCCCAGTTCATCAGATCAATTAACCGAGTGGTACGTGAGGCGAAAATATAAATCGCATTGTATTCCAAGCCTCAAGCTAGGTTTTCGCGGCGATAAGCCGGTCGACATACTAGAATAATATATCAAAGTCCGCGAAAATGCGGATCGCAGCATGGTTGTGCAATTATTTCGCAATGAATCAACCAGCTTGATCAATGTTTATCCCTATAGTTCCTCTGTAAATACATCGTCGACGCATTGTCTCGCGAAACAGTCATTATAATGAGGCTAATAAGATCCCGGTGGGGAGTATGACTCGGTAAATCATCGTTATCAAGAAGGAATTTTGTAGAGGGAGCACCGAACGCACGTGTATAAATTCGCGTGGCGTTCAACTGCGTGCGCGCGCATTCTAAACCCGAGTCGTAAGTTTCAGTTAATTATGGCGGCAGTAGTTAAGCCGAGCTAAATTGTGGGTTACTGATAAGTAAAGATCGAGAAACTAGTGGAGGAAATTTTGCAGTGAGGAAATAACGGTTCTTTAATTTCTTCATGAGAATTCGTGATCATTAGAATAAAAAATTCTCATAACGTTCATATTAATTAGATCGAATACGTTACAGTTAAGCAAGATGAAAATATTTTAATTTTTTTTATTGCGTATAAATAAAACTTTTGCATAAGTGCGATCAAATTTACATACCATGAACAACTGCGTAACCAACAATTGTAAAACAAACAACGTATCAACGAAATTCAATCAATTTCGACGAAATGTCTCGAAGGATGTTTGTCGAATTTGTAATTTCGTCGCATCGAAGGGAACATACATCACGTGACGTAAGGATTAATCAAGCTCGTAGAGGACACGCGACATCGTTCCGCCATTTGCCGTAAATAATTCGAAGCTGGTGAGCCGGGTTTCACGCGATTTAACCCTTCTCAGCGTAGGGTTGGAACGTGCATCTCGTGACGCGACAACAATACTAATAGAATCATGAAAACATTGTGTCTAGTTCGTAAAATAAACGAAAACTTATTTAATCGTCCGTGGAAATATTTTTATTTTTTAAATATAAAAAAAAAATTGAACAATATTATAGAATATATCATAATTTATAAATTCGTGAAAAATTCGAATTAAAAAGAAATCTAAATTAGAAATTTAATAGAATTTAAAATTTTATTGGAAAATTTTCACTTTCCTCGTTTCGTACTTCGCCATAATTAAATAGAATTATAGAAAGAACAATAAAAATATAAAGTCGATGTAATGATCTAAAAAAGATGATTTTGTACAAATGTGAGGAATAAAGTTTGGAACATATAGAGGATAACGAGCGTCGACGAGATCCATGACGAAATTGTTGGAAATACGGGGATATGTTATCCCCTATTTGGACAACTTGCTATCGACAGAGCGTGGCAAAATAGGGGTAGTTTGTCCGGGAAATCCACCAGAATCCACGTCGTTTCTTCTTCGATCCTTTAATTTTCATGATTTATCCTTTAAAAAACGTCTCCTCATATTTTCGCGGATTTATTATCGAAAAAGGAATTCGACAAGATTCGAGAAAAATAAAAAATTTCGTTCGAAATGAAAAAAAAAGAGGAAAAAGAAAATTCATTTATTTTTGCGAATTTTATTATTATTATTTATTAATGAGCATGCAAGCCCTCTGATATAAACCTAACCTATTTATAATTTCAGTATATAACATTCTATCTAGATACGGCGTACCCATGTATTTCCTTTCGTATCTCTCGTTACGAACTTTCGGTTGGCCAGTTGGAGGGGAGCAGGAGAGTTTGCGGAGGAAGGAGAAGGCGCGAGGAAAAATATTTACCTGTTTGTTCGATATAGAAGGAAGGAAAACAAACGGAGAAATTAACGACACGACTTTCCGTCCAACCTTTTTATAAAAATAATAGTTGGGATGAATAGTGATTATGGAAGAACCGTCTCGTTTCTTTTTCGCCAGATATCGAAGAAACAATGGAACATGAATGGAGAAGGCTACGAGATTACCCGTTAACCTAGTTTCCAGTAAAACTGGGCCACAGGCCATCTTCTATGTAAGTAACTGAAAATATTCCGTCGAATATTTTCTTCAATATTTTACGGAGACTGTAAAATCGAATGAAATATTTCTGTTAAAGGAGAACGTTTCAGAGTATTTTATTATTACATTTATCATTGAATTCTTTAGATCGTACTGTACTGACTACTGTAGATCGTAGTCAATCCCAAAAGATTTAGAGGAAATTTAGCTAGCTTGAGAAAATCTGTACGAATTTGTAGTATATTGAGATATGCATGGTTGATTCGTGAAATCAATCCTTGGATTTTATCATACGGTTTCAGCTCAGGTAAATTTTTATTTATTTAATATTATTATAATATTGGATATTACAAATTTATTTTATTTTAAGAAACGAAGATAATAAAACTAAAAATTTAAAATCTTCACTTACAACGAAAACTATAAAGACTACTATATAAACTACTACTATATAAACTACTATATAAACTACTATATAAAGACTACTATAAAAACTACTAGTGTAAAAAGAAATTGGAACAATCACAAGATAAAGTCTTGGGTTGATGAAAAAGGTTATTTTGTCATGTTATTTCAACTCAGGTACAGTATTATAATATTGGATATTACATACTTATTATATTTTAATATAACTATAAATCATTATATAACTAATAAAATTATATTTTAATTTTAAAGAACGAAGATAATGAAACTTCAAAAATTTTAAATCTTCACTTGGAAAGAAGATAACTATGAAGACTACTACTAGTGTAAAAAGAAAGTGGAACAATCACGTACGATAAAATCTTGACTCGAAAAGTTAGGTTAGATTAGAAGCGTATCTTGCAACATCGAAAGGTTAAATATGACTGGCGCTTTAGAAATTATCAATCGTACGTATGGAAGTATCATCATTGCGT